CGAAATCACACATATGTTAAAGTAGTCACGTACAAGTAGAGAGCAGAAATGCACCGAGATTCCATCGAAATAAGAGCAATACAATGAGCACTTGAGCCAATGTTCAAGCCCTCAGGCCCCACCAACACAGTATTCAATGTAGCTCCTCTCTATCTGGCGCCCTGCGCCCAACCTTCATGGCCGACCTCTATTGAAGGTTGCCATTGCTGCTCCTAGTCATAATTTTGCTTGTCGTGGTCCTCTTGTTCCACGTGTGCTTCCTCTATCATTGATGGTCGACCTCTATCGAAGGCCTCCAGCAAAGAAGACGAGGGATCGACACCGACTGCAGTCAACATCGACATCAGCAACGCATCCCGTGGGCGTTTGTCCACACTGGATGTAATCGCCATCACCCGAAAGACACTTGGCAATATATGCATCTTCTCCCATAAGTACTCCTTCATCGCATCATCACATTGCTTGAGATTCTCCCACGCCCCCCCCCCATCCTCGTTTTCATCCACCACCTCGGCGTCGCTCGTGGAAGAACACTGCAACCCATGGCGCAACAAACCTGCACTACAGCGTCAGTGATGGCCATGGTATCCAGCCCTTCGACTGGGACCTGATGAAACATTTTTCTCCTCCCCGTGCAAATTTGCGCTCTCATTCTGCCCAATGCCCTCTTCTGCTGACAATGAAAGACCACGACCGTCACGGTCGCCGCCACGACCGTCTTCTTTGCACGTTTGTCGTCGCTGCCGCCCTCCATCGGTGCGTGTGTTGCAATGCTCATGAACCACGAAAATACAATAGCCTACCAACTTGCGCTGACCACGGTAACCTCAATGCCATATCTCTGACGACATTCCCGTTGTGTGCTTGACTCCACACATAGGTGCAGCGCCATGTAGAGGCGATGGCGATGGACCTTGGCGGGGCGTTCACAAATTTGTGACGACGTACGAGGACTCCACTACGCCTCTACAAATGCCCATTTCCACCATCACAGATATGGATGTCACCTGCCCCACGACCATCATGACGTCCAACACCCAATTTGAAATTTGATTTTCGAACGGGAAGGTTCATTGTTTTTTAAGGGTTTTTTTTTCCCGGTTGTCAGCGCCTTCTCGCCTTGTCCTTCGGTACATCCGTTAAAATTGGAACGATACAGAGAAGATTAGCATCATGATGACCCTTGCGAATGGATGACACTCATAAATGGAGAAATGGTCCAAATTTCTGGGTCAAAGATGGGTATATGTCTAAAGTTGAATGAGACTTAGTGTGTTTTTCAAAGGCAGAGGGAGGCTTAGGGATGACTGACCCCCAGCGGCAGAACACAACAATGCTAGTCCGATGGGTAATCAAGGTTGCTTGCTCCTTAGGGGATGAGCATTGGATCCTTATGGTTATTAAACAAATTCTTGCTCTGGAATGAAATCTTCAAAGACCAGCTGATGTGTGGACTTGCATCATGTTGACCTCCTATCAGAATCGTGTAATAAAGTCTAAGTTTTGGAAAGCTGTGTTATGGGTTTGGCGTAAATTGAAACCAAATTCTTGGTTGCAACCGGTAACTAAGGTTGAGGTCCTTATGCAGCCTCTATTTGAGAACCAACATATTCGGAGGTCAAATGGTAGTTGGTTTGCGGCGGATACTACTATCAACAACTTTGGGAGATAGTGGATAGAAAAAGGAGTATTGAGGATTGAGGATATATGGAACCAGCTAGATAACCAATGGCTTCCCACTGCAGACGTCAGGGCACGGCTGGGTCAGCTGTGGTATGTGGAAGAACGATTGACCCAACTCATTGAGGCTATCCCAGACCAGTGGAAGTTCATCCTTGGTCCTGAAGGTGTGGACCCCCCTGGTACGTGGTTTACTGGCCACGCCCCTAAGGAACCCCCAACCTTTTGGAAATTAACAGAAATTGATTCAAAGGGAAAAAAACAGTTTCAGTGTTGGGAAGTAATTAATGCAGAGGAACCAGGCCTTCTGGTACAAAAAGAAGGCCCGACACATCCTCCATTAACAGTTAAGCAATCTCATATCAGGGTGTAGGAGACATGCGATGATGAGGGTAATTGGACTTGTAAAGTCCACGCGTTTGGGGCCACCATCTCAGAGTTAAGATTGGATCCAAAAATGTGGGGATGGAGGGGAAGTGGTCAGGCAGGGGAAGATTTAGTGCTTTCTTCATACACAGTGGCACAGGGATCAGACAGCAGGACACATACCATTGGAAACAACCACCAAAAGATGGAGCCAGGTATTAGTATGCAACAAAGGCAGAACAGAAAAGGCGCTAAGACGATGTTGGCAACAACTGACTATCGCTCCAAACCCTCGTCTAGCGACCAACTTATGGTTACTTTCTCTCTTGGCTACCCTGTCTGCAGTGAATCTTGCGCAGAGAGGGCTCAAGGTGGAACTAACATGCAAGAGATGTGATTGGGCCTTTGAGTCCACAGTTCACCTTTGGTATGACTGTCCTGCATCTAAGAGAATTTGGGACTGGTGGTAGAGATTTTGGGTGACAAGTTCAGATAATTGTCTGACATGGGACAAGGAATGGGTTCTCATATGTGGACTTCCAGACCGGTTGGAAACATGAAGTGGTTGGGGCTACATAGCCCAAGCTGCACGAACGGTTGCTTGCGATGTAATTTGGAAAGAATGAAATCGACGAATAGGGAAATAAAAAGGTTGTTCAAATCTTCCTTCCGTCGACTTATTCAGGTAGACTGGTGAAGGAAACGCAAGGGGAATTCCACTCACCGGTTTCGTAATACATGGGGATTGGCAGGTAAGCTGGCGACACTCGTAGATGGAAAGTTGGTGTTGGACAAATGGTTTTCGAAACAGGTTTGAGAGGGCTCAACTCTGAAATGGTTGATTTAATTTGTTTTGGCTTGTTGGGAATTTGGCTTGTGGCATAATTTGTTGTTATACCTGGGTAATCGGTTCTATCTCGGCAGGAAGAGAGCAGGGGAATAGGATTAGCGGAGGGAGTACCAAGTGGCTACTCGGTCCTGTCGTGGGCCCAACTGTCATTTTAGACAGGGTTACAAGTAGAGGATAGGATAGTGTGGGTAGGCCTGTAGTTTAACTTTGAATTGTCTGGCTTTTAAACCACCATACCTCTCCCTGCTTGAAGAATTCGACGCGGCCGTTAACGCGCCGCATCGTGCGGGGTACCCACCGGCGCGCGACCGGTAGTCCTAAAAAAACAGTAAAAACAAACAAACAAACAAACAAACAAACGACGACGTAAATGAAAAGTAACAGCCGAAAACAAACAGGCGCGGCGGGCGGGGGAAGGGGAGGAAGAACGAACGAGCGAGAGAGAGAGAGAGAGAGAGAGAGAGAGAGAGAGAGAGAGAGAGAGAGAGAGAGAGAGAGAGAGAGAGAGAGAGAGAGAGAG